GTTGGAGAAGTCAAGATTGCAAACCTCTAGGGCTGGAGGATCTCCAACAGCTTCATCAACAGAGTCAGGAGGAGGAATGTCCAAGCAGGGCAAAGCAGCCTGGGGGCAGCCAGGATGCACTTGGCACTGGCACCCCCGGCTCGAGCTGAGCTACAGCCGCAGGGGAAGCACACCGGGCTGCTGTCACTGTGCTCGCCTGGAGGACGGCAGCAGGAGGCAGCCACCAGACTGAGCAGGAACTGCAAGACAGCATCGAGCATCCCCGCATCTTGAGAGTCACCAAGAAGGCAGAAAAACTTATCCCGTGCTTATGGGTACCACTGGCAATTAACCAGCTTGATTTATTGGAGGAGGTGCTGCGGGGGATGGCTTTGATCCTTCAGGTCTGACGTGGTGAATTCGCTGGGTGAATTCGTTCTGCTCCACTAGCACAAACTCTCCAAGTCATGTGGAGAGCAAAGCCTCCTGGTGAGCATCCACGCACCGCACCACGAACCACACAAGGGGAAGGCAGGGATCAAAGCAAGGATGGAGAGAGGACCCTTCCCTTCAGTTCTTTCATGTAAGCTAAAGAAAAGCCAAGGAAACCCTCAGAAAAGCAACTGCTGAAGAGAGGAAAGGAAATGCCATTACAAAACATCGTTTTCTTGGTGCCTCTTTGGCCTGAGCAAAGCCCGAGCTGAGGCGCTGTTACCTGGAGCTGCTCGGTGACGAGTAACGCTCCCTCCTCTTGCCTTCCTCCGGGGACTGCTCATTACCGGCAAGACAGACAGACAGAGCATGCACTGGGGCAGGGGAGGATGAAGGACAGAAATCTTAATAATCAGCCTAAAATTGATTCACTTCTGCTCAATCTGATTTCTCCTAACTGGATCCACATGTCCTGGCCACGGCACATTAACTTCAATTATGGCTTATTAACGTCTCCGTGATGGAGCGTGCCCTGCTGAGCGCTGTGGTGACTGACGGTATGAAGGGGAAAAAATTACTCCAAAGAGACACAGTGTGTGATGGAAAGAGAACCAGCGGCTTTCATTGCGCCGGCCGGCAGTCCCAGCAGCCAGGAAAAGCTCATTCACCTGTTCCTGAGAAGATGACTGAGCTCATTGCTGCACTGAGGAGAAAACTAAGCAGTGAATAGAGATCTGCGGGGAAAAGTCTTTCCGCTTCCCTTCCCCACCCTGGCTGGCACACGCACAAGCACACAGGCCAAGGGCTTGCTCGTGTCTATTCCTGTCTTGACTCCTCTGCATCTCCAGTTACTCTGCAGATCAATAGGGACAGGATGAAAGAAGAAAAAAAAAAAGAAAGAAAAGAAAAAGATACCAAGAAGAAAGAGAGTAAAAATAAACTGTCAGCCATGAACAGAGAAATGGACCTGGCTGAGGTTGTGGGAGAATGAGATGCAGACGGAGCGGGCAGAGGAGGCCCTGATGCACCAGCCCATTGCACCAACACCCGGGAAGGGCTCAGTGACCCTCAGGATTCACCAGACCCTCTGGAGATCCTGGCAAACTCTTGACTGCCTCTGTTCATCTGTCCTATAGGAGGAGAAAAGGCAGCAAACCCCTTCCCCTACTCCCCATGTCCTTTGCTCTGTCTCTTTCTGCTTTTTTCCAAAAGCTCTGGGAGATCGTGGTGAGCGGGTTTGCCTTGGTGGGAAGCAGAGGGGTGAAGGACAGGGTACGCCTGGACAGGAGCCCAGGAGCACATGGGCAGAGGGGATCTGAGAAACCTCTCTGAACCCACCAGCTAAGGCTGTGGCATGAGAAACTGCCCACGTTTGTGGTCTGCTCTGAGGGCAAAGTGTTTTCCTCTCTCCTTGACCATGAACATCAACTGGAAATCAGCTGCCAAATGTCTCATCACCTTGCGGGCACTGTCAGCTGCCTGCCAAAATCCTGGTGCCGTACCGGGGCACAGGCCATGCCATGCACGGCTCCTCCAACGCCACACACCACGGCTGCGCACCACTCCTCCAGCCTCCTGGGGCTGCTCCCATCTCTGCTCTCCAGGTGGAATTTTCTGGCTGCTTTTTGCCTTTGAGCCTTCATTTCTCCATAATCATCTTCCCTCTCGTTTCCATGACCCCCGTAGTTGACTCCTAACACCACCCCCCATTTTGTCTAAGCACTTTCTTCCTGTTCCTCAAACACGGTCATTCCCAGGTCCTGGAAAAGGCAGCGTGCATCCATCCCCAGCCCTGCTTCCCCCCTTCCCCATGCAGTGCTCCTGTCAGGCTCACATTGATTTCTCCTCTCTTCCCTTCAATAACCCACCCCTTGTTGAGCCATACATGAGATTTAATTTGGTTTCAGTCCTTGCACTCTAACTGGCTCTGCTTACAGCTAGAATTAGATTGCTTCCCAGCCAAATACCTGTTTGCTGGGACTGGAATAATCACAGGAGCAGTGTTAATTCACATGAAGCTTCTCCACCTTATACACCACTTATCCACAGCTCCTCAGCCGGTCATCCTTCCCTGCCCTGTGCCTATTGGAGCTGGAAGAGTCAGCGCAGGACAGGCATCGACATCTTACCCATCCAGGATGAGTGTCCTTCTCTCCTGGGGACTAGCCCAGCAAGCAGGGACGGCCAGGGAGAGCTGGAGCAGTGCAAAGTGGGGTCTTGCTGTAGCTCAGGGCTTGGAGTTTGGGTTGGCAAAAGCAGAATTGTAAGTTTTCTTTGTTCCCGGCCAAGTAAAAGCCCTCTCCTCCCAGAGGCCCTGCTGCATCGGAGGAGCTGCTGTCAGGCAGCCCGGCGGGGAGCGGAGGCGGGCAGG